TTGAATCAAATTTATGGCATTTATTTTTTTTAATAGATGTTATAAACATATTAATTAGATAAAACTAATGTATAGTAAATTATTTAACAAAAAATATCGAATTACAATAAAATATTGTCCAAAAAAAATATTCAAACTAATGCATATAAAATCATAATAAAATGTAGCCCAACAAAAATATTCAAACTAATGCATATCAAATCACAGTAAAATGTTGTCGAACAAAAATATTCAAACAAATACATATCAAATCACAATAAAATGTAGCCTAACAAAAATATTCAAACTAATACATATCAAATAGTCAAACTATTCATATGGCATATCATCACTTGAAAAAGTCGGGTATGAATTTAGATCAAGTAAATTGTTTTCATGACTTATATGACGAACATTATCATACACTTCATTGTTCCTTTGGAAGACACGAGTAAAACTTGAAGTTTGTTGTGTTTGTGATGATTCTACATGCTCAAATCTTGAAGGTTCTCGTGTTGTAGAAGTCATACCTCTTTTCTTTTTTGATTTTGGAGGTCTACCCTTTGGTTGACAAATCGTAGGCTCAAAAAACGTATCAGATTCAGTCAAAAGTTTAGTAATCATAGAAGTAGCAAATTCTTTCTTACTTAGAGGCCACATTTTGTATCTTGAGGATAACTCATTGATCAACTCGTCAAATTCATTAGTGCCATCATTATGTGAATCATCTTCTAAATTTAATCGTAATGTATCAATCTTCCAATGTGGATGAATGAGATCCAATGGAATTGTCATTCCTTGTAAGTGTTTTATCTTGTGAGCACAAGGAAGACCCATTGTTGCCATAAAATGACCAGTGCAAGGAGTCATTGTACCTAGAAACCAAAAATATATTAAAGGTTAATGTAAAAATTAATGTTGTGCAACAAATGTAAAACTATAAGCTTTGTAAATATTACCATTTTTTATTTTTTCATATTGCGTATATATCTCCTTTAATGCAAAATGAGATACATGACACAAAATCTCTCTAAAAGCAGGTGCATCACACTTACGAAGAACTTGGATTTTCTCACTTGCTAGTTGCACTTTAATCTGGTTGAATTCATGTTTGATTGCAAGACCAATCTTTTCTGTAACATCTTGAAAGCCACCTGTTGATACTTGCAGATATTGTTTCAGTTTGGCATGAACACCTTCAGCCCTTGATGATGACCGATTACCAAAATGCAAATATTTTTCTGTCCAGGCACTAACAAACTTTTCCTTCCAAGGCAACCATGTATTTTTTATGTACTCAATTGCAACTTTCTTCGTCTAATAAAACAACTCAAATTCGGCCCAATGTTGCTCAAAAATAGTTGTAGTTGTTGAATATGCTACATTATTCCAATATGACATAAATAGATCAAATTCTTCTCCATGTGCAAAATGCTTTTTGGAATATGCCAGCACATTCTTTTCAATATGCCAAATACACAAAAGGTTTGTCGTGTTCGGAAATACCGTATTTATGGCATTCATTAATGCTAACTCTCTGTCAGACATAATCACAGATGGTTCACGGTTTTCAAGAGTCTTCTTAAACACACTTAATGCCCAAATATAACTATCTTCATCCTCTCTCTCCAGAAAGACAAACCCAGAATAAAAAGATGTACTAAAACATGAAACCCCAATGATATCAAGTAGAGGCATGTTATATTTGTTTGTTTTGTATGTGCAATCCATTACAAAGATATTAGAGAAAGCTTTTGACAATTTAACTGACAAAGGATGTGCAATGAACAAATGGGTTATATGCCCTACTGAGTTGTGTAAAATATCATATATAAAACCCTCTTTCTCAAACTCTTCAAATAAAGCACTAACCGTTGATCGATTTCCCAAGTTTTGCTTGCGGATTTTAGCCTTCAGATTGTATATAGTTCGTGAGACTGCTGGAAGGTTTGAGTTTTGTTGATGCAAAGAAGAAAGAATTTGCCTTGAGGGTATGCCAGAAAGCGTCATGTTTTTGACACTTTGTACATCATTTGGTGATAATCGACGAAATGATGGATGCCCAGAGATATCAGTAGACGGTTCATGGTTGTGAGTCAAGTTTTTTGCCTTAAGTACCCAAAAACCATCATTTCCTTTTTTACCTACAATCTGGAAGGGGCAGTTGATCAAACGAGATCCAGTATTTTTCTTCCTTTTATCTCCGATACACATTCTATCTCGATAGGAACCGCCTCTATCACATTGCAACGTGACATATTTATCTTTACGTGAGTCTTTTATAGATACTACATATCCTTTAGCATAATAAAAATCTCTTAAACTCTTCAGTAATTCATCATACGATTCAAATTTGGAGTTAGCTAAATAGAGTTCTTCATTTTGTACCATAGAACTTGATGAATCCATTCCCTCTTTTGAATCAATTTTTACACAATCAGACATAACATTAAACTTTAAAATTTTGAATGAATATGTTGACAGAATGAAAATCAATTTTAACACATTTTGAATCATAATCAATTCATGTTTCAGTTTTAAATCATAATCAATTCAAGTTTAACATAATCATAACCAATTCAAGTTTTCATATGGTGTTAAAATAATCAAAAAGTCTAAAATACAACTACACAAAACAGTTGTTTAATGCCCTTTTCATGTAAAAAAAAGTCAAAGTATTGCTCATTTTTTCATCTAACCTTTAAATTAAAAAAAAAAAGAAAAAAAAAACATAACAGAAGAACTTAATATCACTAGTAGAAAAAATTTGTGCCTTCGTCTTTCCATGTATTTGATATTGTTAAGACAATTAATTAAAAAAGGCTTTTGTTCAAGAAAAACAATCCTATACAAAATTTAATATATGCTTGCTTCTTACATGATTCGAAACTAACATCGCCATTGAAAAGCATGTAATTATTCAAACTAAAAGCACATGTGGTCACTATAACTTTTCTTATTCTTATTTATTTATTTTTTTTTTTGTGATTTGAAGACGTAATAATTTTTCTAACTAAATCAAGGAGATATCAATCAACTATTCACATCTTATTTTGTTATCTGTAAATTTTTTTGTGTCTAACAGTAATGATTTTCAAGCTTACCGATTGAAGATGAACGGAAGGCTGGAGAAGATCGTCGTACGACTGTTGATTTCCAAGGCGACGTGTGAGTTTTTTTTTTGAAACAAAAACTGGTATTTAGGTTAAGGATTTGTATTCACGTAAAAATAGATAAGATCCTATATTATCAGCTCTTATATTAATTATCCATATATTATTTAAATGAATTAAATGAATTGAGGGGTAAAATAGTCCATATATTAATTATTACTTGGAAATATTAAATAATTCCTTGGAAAAATCACCTCCCAAATTGAAACCGTGACTTTCAAACATGGGAAATCTTCAGAAAAGTCCCAATATTTACAGAAAAGTTACACTTTAGTCCTAAGATTTTTTTTTTGAATAAAAAAGTCCTGAAAACCGGCAAAAATTTACAGTTTGACCCTTTTTGACCGGCTGAAACCGGTACCAAATTAATTTGGGACTGTTTCGTAAACTAACCCAAAATATTGAGATTTTTCTGTGAAAAAAAAATATTAGGACTTTTCTGTAAACAAAAATACTAGGACTTTTCTACAAACAAAACTCTTATTATTATTAAAAATATAAATAAGTATTAGGTGAACGTCGACGTAGCAGATCAATTGATAGTTGTAGGAGGGATACAATGGGAAAACGAAAATTCATTCTTTTCTTCAATGGTGTTGTGCATCTTGCTCTGCATATTTTTTTTAAGTAGTAAAACAAAAATGAAATCCAAATTAAACTAGTTCTATTTTGAGTGAAAAAAATTGAAATGTATTTTAAATTCGGAGTCTCGTTCACGGAGGTTTTGATTGCAGGCATGTGGATTAATGAAGGTAATTAACTTCAATTCAATATAAAATATTACTTTTCTACATTATTTTTTATATTAATTTACTATTTCATGCAAATAATATGTTTGTTGATTTGCTGGATTTAAAATATATGGTGCTTTCAATGTATTGTAATGACTCATTCAACATATGTTTATCACTTTTGCGAAGGGTTCATTCATTCTATTGTTCATTCTTAATGTTTATTAATTTGAAATATTGTGATTAAGTAGACAATAATTGGTTCATTTTGACATATTTTCTGTTTTAATAATGAAGTTCATCTTGAGTTGTGAGTTATAGTTGTCCCTTGGTTTTGATTCAAAATTGGCTAGTAATGCATACTAAGTGTTCGATCATTGGCTAGTAATGCATACAAATTTTCGTTTTCCCATTGTATCCCTCCTACAACTATCAACTGATCTGCTACGTCGACGTTCACCTAATACTTATTTATATTTTTAATAATAATAATAATAATAATAATAATAATAAGAGTTTTGTTTGTAGAAAAATCATAATATTTTTGTTTACAGAAAAATCCTAATATTTTTTGTTCACAGAAAAATCTCAATATTTTGGGTTAGTTTACGAAATAGTCTCAAATTAATTTGGTACCGGTTTCAGCCGGTCAAAAAGGGTTAAACTGTAAAGTTTTGCCGGTTTTCAGGACTTTTTTATTCAAAAAAAAAATCTTAGGACTAAAGTGTATCTGTAAATATTGGGACTTTTCTAAAGATTTCCCTAAATATAAAATACTATTTAAAATTTGAATTTCGCTTAAGACATTTAGTACCTAAGAGGCTACAATGTTTTTATATCGATATTTAAATAATTATATATTTAACAAACTTAATTTTTATTGTTAATAATACATAATGAGAATTATATTTTAATAAATATATAATTATTTTTGTCTTCCCAGTTTATGTAGATGATCAACACACTCTGGATCAATTTTTTAAAGTAAAAATGAAATTAAAGTAAGTTTTTAACTTGCAAAATAATTTGAACTTTCCATTGAATGAATATTCTTGTGTTGACCTGGTTAGTTTAGTCCCTACTGGTACTTCTTCCGTTTCTTGTTTCTTCACTTTCATCTCAAGACCCTCGTAATTCTCTTCAATAAATCCCCAAAAATGGCGTCAATTCAAACAGCAAGTTGATCATGTGAAATACTTATCTTCGTTGCATTTCTCCCACAGTTCTATGTTAATTGGTTATCAGGTAAGCTAATTTTACAATTCTTTCCATATCTTTGATGCTGCTGTTGACTTCAGCTTGCTCCAAGTCTTCTTCCTCCCTATTTCGTTGCTAATTCCTTTTTTTAGTTTTATAATCAGAAGATGAACCGTCTCGTTAGCTTTGCCATATAATATAGTTGATCTATGTTTAGCAGTCAAGCTCCATTTCGGTTATTAGCCTAAGAAGAATCAAAAGTCCAAATGCCTAAAATTGAATTTCTCAGTTCTCACCACATGTAGAAGGTCACCTCTTGTGTTTGACATTAAAAATTATGCTGTTTCAGAGCAATTAGAGAATCGCGGAAACATTAGAATTCGATTGGAGTTTATAGCCGTCCGGCAGTTTCGCTCACACAGGTGCTTGAATGCGCAGATTTGCTTGTCGACTCTGGTGTAAACACATGAGAACAAGGTGAAACCCTAGTAACACAGAAGAAGGACATCTTTAAATAGAAGATTTTGTTGTGAATACATGTTCGCAAACATAAAATTGGTACGCTATGAGACCCCTATCTTCTATAATTAGCATCCATTCTTCAAGTTATTAAACATTTATGATGAAATATACCATAATTGATAGGCTGTATATGTCATTTTATACCTAAGAAGGAATCATCTATGTTGATAGGCTGTATATGTCATAATTGGAGAGCATTTTAGGTGATACATTCTGTAAAAGTTCATATGCAAATCATTAGGATATTATCAACAACAAGAAGCTATAGGGCAAGCTAAAAATTGGACTTATAAGTTGGACCAAAATTAAGTTTGACAAATTCAACTCTTACTGTGGACCAAAGGGAGTAATGAAATATGTTGTATTGACCAAATTTTTTTCCCTCAGGTTCTTGTCCTTATCTTCTGAGAGAATGATATGATGGAATTAAGTTGAGTCAAACATGATCCTGATCATATCAAGTGGTAGCATTTATTTATGATAACACAATGGCATTGGAGGCAATGGCAGCTACAGAGTGCATCTCTCATACTGTAGAATTAGTCATGGAAGTAGTCTCTGAAGTCAACAATGTCTTTGTTGAGAAGGAATGTTTTTCAGAACTTGCTTCATATTTGAATAGACTTGTTCCTCTCCTAAAAGAATTAAACAAAAAAGACATCAGCAATTCCGAGAAAGTTTTTGTTGAGATCCTGAATCAACAAGTCAGAGTAGCTAAACAACTCACAACTGAATGCAGCAAAAAGAGCAAAGTCTACCTCTTAATAAGTTGCAGATCAATTACAAAACGCATACAAGACATTACAAGGGAAATCAGCAAGGCGTTAAATCTAATCCCTTTTTCACAGCTGGAAATTTCATCAAGCATGATGCAAGAACTTGGTCAACTCTGTGAAAGCATGCAATCTGCAGAGTTCAAAACAGCCATAGCAGATGAAATGATTCTTGAAAAAATCGAGTCAGGAATACAAGAAAGAAACGTGGATCGTTCATATGCCAACAATTTACTTGTTTCCATCGCACAGATTTTAGGGATTTCAACAGAAAGATCAACATTAAAGAAGGAATTTGAAGATTTCAAGAATGAGATAGAAAACGCACAACTGAGAAAAGATCAAGCTGAAGCCATTCAAATGGATCAGATAATTGCATTGTTGGAAAGAGCAGATGCCACATGTTCTGATGAAGAAAAAGCAAGAAAGTATTTGACTAAACGTTCTTCATTGGGCAATCAACCTTTAGAGCCTCTCCAATCATTTTATTGCCCAATTACAAGAGAAGTTATGGTGGACCCTGTGGAAACTTCTTCAGGTCACACATTTGAAAGATCAGCCATTGAAAAATGGCTTTCTGATGGAAGTACTTCATGTCCTCTTACCATGATCCCTTTGGATAATCTTACATTACGCCCTAATAGAACTTTAAAACAATCAATTGAGGAATGGAAAGATAGGAACACCATGATCACAATTGCTTCAATCAAATCAAAACTTGTAAAACCTTTATCAGAAAACGAAGAAGAAGAAGTGATTTCTTGCCTTGAACAGATTCAAAACTTATGTGAAGAACGAGAAATTCACCGGGAATGGATAGTGCTGGAGAATTACATTCCTACCCTTGTGGAGCTTCTTAGTGGTAAAAACCGAGAGATTAGAACTCGTACCCTTGTCTTGCTTTCCATTTTGGCAAAGGATAGTGATGATGCAAAGGTATTAATTATTACTATTTATTTATTACTAAACTTCTACTTGTATTTTTATGTTTTTTTTTTCTTTTGTTAATTCTCATACTCAGTTTGTTGTAGGATAGGATTTCAAGGGTGAATGGTGTGATTGAATCTATAGTTCGTTCACTTGGGCGTAGAATTGCTGAAGGAAAGTTAGCAGTTGAATTGCTTTTGGAATTATCAAGAAATGAAGGTTTAAGAAATAGAATTGGAAATGTTCAGGGATGCATTCTACTTTTGGTCACCATGTCCAACAGTGAAGACACTCAAGCTGCCATTAACGCACACAAGCTTTTGGATTCTCTTTCTTCCTCTGATCAAAATGTCATCCAAATGGCAAAAGCTAATTACTTTACACATCTCCTTCATCGACTATCTTCAGGTATTAATTTATACAAACCCTTTTATTACAATATCTTCAGTATCATTGAGACTTTTTTTTTTTTCACAGGTTCTGAAGAAGTGAAGATGAGCATGGTGACAACATTAGCAGAAATGGAATTCACAGATCACAGCAAATCATCTTTATTTGAAAAAGGTGCACTGGGCCCACTTCTTGACTTAGTCTCACATGGAAACCCTAGAATGAAAGAGACAGCAGCTAAAGCACTTTGTAACCTCTCAACCTTAAAAAGAAACAGCACCCAAATGATCACACAAGGTTCTGTAAAACCATTGGTCAATCTTCTCTACAATCACACATCATCCCATTCTTTACAAGATGAAGTAGCATCAATCATCATGCATCTTGCCACATCAACCATGTCACAGAATTCCGAAAATACCCCTGTTTCTTTATTCCAGTCTGATGAAGATATCGATAGCCTTTTTGCTTTTATTCCATGTACTCGCCCTTTGGTGCAAGAACGTTTACTTCATGCTATTTACGCCATGTGCCACTCTCCCTTAGCTTCTACTGTCAAATCAAAGTTGAGACAGGTAATATATTCCTCTTGTGTCCTTTACTTCCACTTTGATGATTTATTTCATAATCTTTCAATAAATCAGGGACAAAATTTGTAAGAGAACACTTTCTGGGACAAAAATTGTAGCAATCAGCTATTATCAGGGACGAAAAATGTAATTTACTTTTTTATTTGTATATATTTTTTTCAGAATTCAGACAACGAACAAGCATTGGTGGTTTTATGTGACAATGAAAACCCGAAAGTAAGAGCAAATGCTGTGAAGTTGTTTTGTTGTTTAACAGAAGATGGTGAAGACAAAGAGATAACAGACAGAATGGGACAACAATTAATTGAGACTTTAATCAAAATAATCAAGTCTTCAAATGATATAGAAGAGATTGCTTCTGCTCTGGGCATCATTTCAAATCTCACCGAGTCAACTCAACTCACCGAGTCACTAGTCAAAGCCGAAGGACTCCCGGTGATATCCTCCCGTCTCCAAACCCAAAACGGGCCCCACAAAAAACATCTAATAGAAAACGCGGTTGGTTCCCTTTGTCATTTCACAAACCCAACAAACAAGGAATCACAAAAGAAAGTAGCGGAATCCGGTCTGATTCCATTGCTTGTCCAGTTTCTCGAGGCCGGAACCGGAGTCACGAAACGAAAGGCGTCGATTTCCCTCGCGCACCTTTCGAAAAATTCAATGGAGTTGACCCGGCCGATTCCGAAGGCGGGTCTATTCCGGTGCTTCTCGCCGCAATTGGAATCCAGGTGTCCGGTGCATCAAGGAATGTGCGAAGTGGAGGTGAATTTTTGTTTAGTGGAAGCGAATGCGGTGGCGCCGCTGGTGACGCTGTTGGGGGATTCCGATTCCGATGTTTGTGAAGCGTCTTTGGATGCGTTGTTGACTTTAATTGAAGCTGAAAGGTTAGCGTTTGGGTGTAAAGTACTGGGCGAAGCTAATGCGATACCTCAAATTATAAAATTGCTAAATAGCAACAATTCGAATTTGCAAGAAAAGGTATTGAATGAGTTAGACAGGGTTTTTAGGTTGGTGGAATTTAAGCAAAAATATGGGAATTTGGCGCATATGCCGTTGGTTGATTTGACTCAGAGGGGGAATTCTAGGACCAAATCTTTGGCTGCGAGGATACTTGGTCAGTTAAATGTGCTTCATGATCAGTCGTCTTATTTTTAGGTCACAAATTCTTTTTTGTCAATTGATTTTGTACACAGTTTCTGTATCGTATTGTATATCATATATATGTTACGAGATTTAAGTTCAAAGCTTCTAAGGTCTTGAGAGGTTTTATGCATTTATATCTATTTTTTTGTATTTGTATTGAAATTTCAACATTTTGTTCCTTTTAAGTTTGAATTATTTGTTAATAAGTTGATAGCGTTGATTTTGGGTCCAAAATAGGCCGGGTATGATTTACAGAGTGGATCATCGTGTGATGTAGAATATATTGAAAGTTTTCTACATAGTGTGAATCATAAACACTTTTGTAATATGACAATGACCACTTATAAAATGGGTTGATTGTATGATGAGAGTAGTGACAAGCAAAAGCGGGGCATAATTTGCAAATTTCTCTTATTGACATCAATCTTGTTACTAGTCTAAAGCATGTCGAATATAATCCAACATGTTTTTATCATGTCCTACATGGTTATATAGAAAACCTTGCCTTAAAAGTTAAAAGAAATCTTATGATTTGATAGTCGTTTATGTACTTCTTTCTTGCTGCTTGTGACTTCAATGTGTTGGAACCTGAAAGTGAACCTTTAGCAATCTCTAACCTTTCATGTTCCGAAGTCAGTCTTATGTTAGAAGTAGTGACATTGCCCGGTCCTTAGTATGTTTTCCGGTTTGTAATGTGTACCTCCTTTTTCTATATAAGGAGTGTTTAATGATAAGAACAGTGTGACGGATTGTTTCGCCAAAGATAGTTATATTTGAATTTATTTCACTTACATCTTTCTCTCAAATCAAACTCTTTCAAACATTCTACTTGTTCATTTATTTTCTTTACTTTGATTATACTCATTACTCCATATTTAATACTTGAAGTACTTTGTTGATTCTCATCTTCAGTCTCGACTGGTCTTGCCAGACTTGACTGGAACTTATAATCAGAAACAAACATTGATCTTAAGCATTAATTCAAGGTTTGAGTTTTTGAGCATTGTCCCTGTGCAATCAAATCCTTGTTCTCACAATTGGTATCAGAGCTTGAGTGTCATTTGAATCCATAAGAACAGATTATAGTTAATTCGAGATTACCTTGGTATTTCGATCAATTATATGTTTAGGATAAAAGTTCTTCTATATACCACTTTTGGTCAAGATATCTTAACTTCAATGCCTGCTTCTAATTCTCAACAAATGTACTCAATGCAAATAGAAAATAGCGTGGGTTGCCCTACACGTGCCCCATTGCTAGTTGTTGAAGAGTATGATCACTGGAAAGTCGGAATGGAAAGATTTTTACTTGGAAAAGAAAAAGGTGAATCTATCTGGAGATCCGTTAAAGAAGGTCATCATGTTCTAGTTCGAACCATTGTTAGAGATGCTACTACAACTCTCATGGGACAGGATGAACAACTTCAAGCACCTATCACTGCTGATGATCTTGAAAAACTGCATGCATATCAAGTTGCCTTTTCCGAAATGGTGTTTGATGTTCCACCTTCTCTTTTTGAGCACATTAAACTGTGTAAATTCGCAAAAGAGATTTGGAACACACTTCAAGATTTGTTCGAAGGGCCAGAGAACATGAAGGATAAGCGTCTAACCTCGGTTGTAAATGAGTTCGACACTTTCACTACAACACCTGGTGAATTTGTTGCCTCAGCCTCAAACAGATACCGAATCGTCGTCAACAACATGGCAGCTCATGGGATAGTCCAAATTCCACTTGAATACAACCTCAAGTTCATCAACAGCCTCGGAAAGGGATGGGGAAATGTGAAATCATGTCTTTAGAGTAATGGATCTCTGAAAAAGCTGAAGCTCTACCAACTGTTTGATGAGCTTCAAGGTCATGAGTCAAATGTTACACAAACACTACGTGAACTCACTGGAGGCCCTCTAGCTCTAGTCAGTTCCTACGACCCACTAACTCAGAACCCTGTTGTTTCGGACCCTCTCTCAGCTGTTGTTCCATATATCCCTCCTGTTCAACCCTCACCTCCAACCATGCCTGTTCCCACCAATAACAACTATTAATTAGCTGGTGACCTTAATCCTGAAGATATGGACTCCGAACTCCGTTTTCAACAGGAGTTTGCCTTACTTTCCATGAAATACAATCGTCCTTATACGAAGTCATATCACAACCGTTTTCGTGCTCCTCACCAAAATAATCCTCAACCCTTCAACAAACCTTCAGAAAACCCACCATCCTACAAACCTAACCTCCCTACACCAAATCACACCTCAGAATCATCACAGACTCCGAAGTCAGAAAACCCAAGATTGTATGTCACAAATGTGGTCATGCAAATCACTTTGCCAAAGATTGCTTAGCCGAAGTCCCACAGAAACCCAAGATCAAGGACTCTGCTTACTATGCACGCCGAGCTTAAGAAATGGCAGAAAGTGAAAAGGATTTTGTTACCACTGTATCAAGGGATGTGGAAGGATATTGGTCTTTTGGAGATGATGATGACATAACCACTGACAGAAACATGTGTCTTATGACTCAACAAGAAATTGAATGTGATGAAGGCTACTAGTCGTTTGGGTCAGAGAGAGATGAAGAAGATGCTGAACCAAACTACTGCTACATGGCTACCAACGATCCACCTGGCAGAAGCATCGTTCAGCAGGTAAAATCTATGATTACTGATAATAATTATGACTTATCTCTTTGTGAACCATATCTAACCCATATCCAATCAGATATGAACATCATTTACAAAGCCTTTGAGTCAGCCATAAAAGCCAGTGAGAAGAAGGAAAGTGAATTAAGTCGTCTTAGATTATGTTTTGAGGATAAGAACTTGAAAATAGAGTCTTTAGAACGAGAGCTTGTAATGTCACAAGATGAATGTATCATTCTTAAAGACAAATGTGAAATCACTTATTCTGAAAGAAATGTTTTAATTTCTGACAACAAACGTCTCAATGCTAAAATAGATGGTTTGCATAATTGAATAGATATTCTTGAAGCAAATGAACGGATGACTCACAATTTTCGTCATCCTTGGTCAAAAGCTCCTGGTCTCGGAAGCGAGTTTCCGAAACCTATTTCTCGTCCCTTAAAGGAGTTACAAAATCTAAATTTTATGGGAGACGTTCCGAACATCAAACATTCAGACACCCCTGTCTCGCCTTTGTCATCCCTTCCTGAGACTTCTGACCAATTTGCATCACTAATTCCTGAGTTTAAGCCTATAGTTGTCAAGTGTCCCGATTCCACGCCTCTTCCGCCTCTGATAAACCTGGACCTGAATTGGACCCCAGAATCCCACTCTAGTATTCCGAACTCTGTCATTCAAATTCCGAACCACAGCCCTCCTAACAACTGTGTTGTTGAGGAAATTTTTCCGGAGACAACTAGACCTGAATTCTCTGAGTGTGTTTGGGCATTGTAACGACCCAAATTTTCAAAAGAAAATTTTCATTTTTAATTAATCAAACACATTACCATAAACCATAAAATCCCAAAACAATTGTTTTCAAATCCACATCCATTAAAAATTTATTTAAAAACATCAGAGTGTTCCATAAGATGTCGATGAGAGAGTGCACGCCGCGCCATCAAGTCTTGCCCTTGCCCTTGGGCTCAGATGTACCTAAAACAAATCCACAAACTGTAAGCTAATGCTTAGTGAGTTCCCCAGAGCATACCGCACATACAATCCACATATCACATATCACATTAGCCATAAAGCTACATATATCACATAAGCCATGCATATAACATATATGGATGCCCTGGAAACCCTCCAGGGTCTTATTCCGGATGCCTCAGGAACCCCCCCGAGGTCTTAGCCTAAGGATGCCCTGGAAACCCTCCAGGGTCTTACTCCGAGTGCCTCGGGAACCCCCCCGAGGTCTTAGCCCACGTGCCTCGGGAACCCCCTGAGGGCTTTACCGAGGATGCCTCACAACCCCTCCAAGGTCTTACACCTAGGTGCCTCGGGAACCCCACCGAGGTCTTTCATACAAGTTTCATAAATAACTAGCATATCACATATGTTGGATTAATGTCTAAGTCCATAACTATATTTGGTATGTACTTGACCCGACCCGGCATGGTC